ATGTTCGAAAATTAGAATATATGTAGGTTTGAAGGTTTGAAAGTTTGAAAGTTAGAATATCTGTAGATTTGAAGGTTTGAAAGTTTGAAAATTAGAATATTTGTAGGTTTGAGAGTTTGAAAGTTTGAAAGTTTGAAAGTTTAAATGTTCGAAAATTAGAATATTTGTAGATTTGATGGTGTGAAAGTTTGAAACTTTGAAAATATATTTTAGATCATAAATTGACAAAGTATTTATTATTGAAATCGCATTATAATAATATCGCAATACTGATTTCGATACTAGATGAATAAAAATGAATAAAATCAAAAGGAAAGATGAAAAATAGATGTAGTATAAGATTAACAAATGAATGACTAATGGGAAGCTCATGGTCGCCCTATAATCTTCCATGAAATATTGGCTTTCTATCCTCATCATAAATTGTTTACGACTAATATAACTTGTTTATGGCTCCGAGCATTTTCACCGTGACGAAAATAAAGGAAAAACAGCTGACACATGAGGTTACCTGTCTATTTTCTGTCGGCCACATCCATCGCTGTCACAAATTCGACTGTCGCAATCGCGCCCAGTAATCCAACAGATTATGCCCTGTGATGTCTGGATCCTGGAATCAATTCCCTTGAGGGTCGAAGGACTAGAGAAATCGTTAAACTAGTAATCAAAGCTACCGAACTATGTATCGTTGGTTTCAAATTACAGTGCTCGTCTTATTTATGTACCACTTAGGCCCTTGGTTAACACAGCAAATAAATCAGTCGATTTTTATTACTCCTGATTAACGTGTCAACTATCAACATTCAAGGTAACAGATATAAATCAGACAATGAAAACAAAATGACGGATGTAAACACAGCATGGACGATAGAAAAAGTATCAAACTATAAATTAAAATTATCAATTGATAACATCGTATTAAACATAATTAAGACCATGTACCTCAACATTTTTTAAAGAAACACTAAAATATATTCATCAGATAGTCATCATTCAACGAAATAAATATAAATTATACAGGATTTATTATATATCTCCCTCAAGACTATACACCCTGAAAACCTGTTCCTCATTAACATCTGATGAAGCGATAAAATTACAGAGACTTTAAAGCCTTCTTAAAGACCCGTTAAAAAACGAGATTCCTTTCATATAACCTTAATCAGCACAAGTTTAAAAACCAGAACAATATTCTACAGTGCTTAATTAATTGTCCAATCCCGACTGTTTACGACGCAGATAATTATTCCCGTAACTTTCCCATAAAAACGCCGAAAGAAGCTCGCTTGTGCATCGGGAAACTGGTCCAATCGAATCGCCGAGCTGGAGTTCACGGTTCACCGTTCGTCCCAGTGACCCTGTACACGAAAACGAGCCGCTGGGAAACGTTTCCGCGCGTCGCAACCCCTTTTCCGCTCGCTTCGCTCCACGGGAGCAGCCCTCGCCACCCTAATTCGCCTCCTGTTCCAGTTCGTCGTGCTTTTATCTTCTCCGCCCACGACGAAAAACCTGGACTCCTCGACTTTTTGCGGGCTCCTGTTCAGAAGTGTCGAACTTGCTCCGTGTCATTTAACTTCTGGATGACGATGCAGCTTCCCCGCGACGAACCCACGTCGGAAAACTTTCACGTCCCTTCCGACGAAACATTTAACAGGAAGTTTCTGCGTTCGGACTGGCCGCTGCAGTCGTCGCTGTTTTAAGTTCGCGGTAACTTTCAGCTGGCGTTTCGCTGCTTCGGTTGAAACTGTGAAGGAGTGTGTTGAATATTGCGTGAAATTGAGGGGAAAGTTCAGGAGAAATGGGAATGGAGGGTATTTTATTCGAAAGTTGGTTAAAAAACGTGTTTTTTGAGGAATGTTTTGAATTTTCGTGCTGAAATTGTTGGCTGGTTTAGGTTTTTGAACGAATGTGTTGAATATTGCGTGAAATTGAGGGGAAAATTCATGGGAAACGGAAATAGAAGCTTACTGAAAATTTAGTGAAAAAACATGTTTTTTCAGAAATTTTTTGAATTTTCGCACCGAAAATGTTGCTCGGTTCATGTTTTGTACTTGGATATCAATGTTCTGATGTATTGGTAACAATTATTGTTAATCTAACATAGAGTATTTCGAGAAAGCATTCCTCGTAAAAAAGAAACGTTGGTTATTTTCTCAGTATTATACCGATTTGTATTCTTCTTTATATCTAAATCGATCGATAACAACTTCCACAGACACACTAGTGAATTTTTCATTCTGTCTCCACGGTATGCAAACTGAAGATAAAAATATCTTTCCAATGTAATGACAACAATGCATATTCAATCGGCTAAACGGTGCGTTATGCTTCCAACATGGCCGCCTTACATAACGCTCGATGCAGTAAAAAAGCGTTTGACTCAGCCTAATTACAGTTATCGATTGTTGTAGTAATATTTAATTATTTCGGTAGATGATTCGAACGAATATTTGACTATTCCGATCAATTAGTGTTTATTATAGTGTTTATAGTCACAATTATTATAGTGTTTATAGTGTTTTTTATAGTCACAATTATTATAGTGTTTATAGTGTTTTTTATAGTCACAATTATTATAGTGTTAACCGAACTTCGTTCGAAACGAAGTCGAGGAGATGCGGAATAAAATTTCAAAAATGTCTTTGAGTGAAACGTGTTTTCTTTGTTACTACACTTTGGTAAATGTTTTTATTGTTTTTTTGGTCAAGGTTTTGACAATGATGCAATATGTTTTTGGTGATCTGTGTTGTTTGTTTAAGTAAAACGTGTGAAAACGAGCCAGGCCTGAATTCTTCTTTCTGTGAAATTATTAGAGAAATTGATTTAGCAGTGGGTAAACTGAGTTGTAAAGTAACTGAAATTTCAATGACAAAATCAATCACTTTGGGAGTTTTTATAGAGGAATTTCAAAAAGTCAATTTAACGGTAGTTTTATTGTTAAGGATGTAGATATTGCTGAATTACCAATGAAGTTTATTTAGATATAATTCACGATTGTAAGGGGATTTAGCTGAAATATGATGTGAACATGGGGTGAAATTCAGAGAGATCAAGTTTAAATATTTACGAGGCACAAGAGACTCAAGATTAAAATTTAAAATGCAATTTAAAATTGAATCGTAACTATAATAATTAATTTCTAAGATTTCAAAAATTCAACAATCTCTTTGTTTCTTATAATCATCGAAATGGCAACTTATTCTTCATCTAATAACTGGTCAAATATTATTAGCCTTTGCACTCGAGAGGTGACTCTCAGTCACATGATTCAATACAACAAAACTATGAAGTTGAGTATTTAATATTTCAAATTAAAGTTTGCATTCCTACGTGAAATATTTAAATAAAACACCTCTGTCACTTAATTTATCTATGAATTATCGTTAAATTAGTTTCAAACAATATGACCTATATCTCGTCGGAAAATATTGAATACTTCCATTGAAAAACTTTCGAGTGCAAAGGGTTAGATACTAATATAATGAGTCATTAGCCAATTTCAAATGACTCAAATGTTACGTTGAGTAGAAAAATTTAGGTTCCTGGCATATTTGGGTGGGTGTTGTTGATGGCAAGTGCCTCAGAGGAGGAGGTCAGTCAAAATTTGTATAGTTCTGTAAATCTGTTCCTAAGATTTCAAAAATTCAACAGTTTATTTGTTTCTTTTAATCATCGAAGTGGTAACTTATTCTTCATCTAATAATTAGTCAAATATTATTAGATACAATTACACTTTGGTAAATGTTTTTATTGT